CCGGCGCAGCCCGGCCGGGAGCGGTGTCATGACGCCCCTGTCGATAAGTCGTCGTTGTTCGCCGCTGTTCTGTTTTATTCGCGTGTCGGGGACGGGCGACACTCGAGGGGGGCTGCAAGAAGCTGAGGGCCCCGGCTTGGTCGTGAAGACTGGGGCCGGGTCTTCCCGGAGAGCAGGAGCTGCCGGGGCGGGGGGGTCGGTCGTCCGGTTGTGCCCCGGGGCGGTCGGGGAGGGGGGAGACGCCTTTGTGTGGCGACTCCAGTCCGGTCGCCGATCCCCTTTCCAGAGGGCCCGGAGGGGGGCGGGGGGAGGGGGTTCCTAATTGTATTAACAGACAAGACTGTTCTGTTAATTCAATTGAGGACTGATAGGGAGCCCACCGTCGCAGTGGACCGTCGTTACCGGGGTTTTTTTTCGGGGGGGGAGGGAGGAAGTGACCGGAAGCGCCGTGCTCGCGGCCGGCAGGACTCCTGGCGCCCCGGTCCAGTCCGGCTTCGGAACAGCGGTTTCTGGACGGCCCGGCCTCTGGCCCCTCTGCGTCAGGGAGGGGTTAATGAAGCAAGACGGGTCCCCGTCGCCTCTGAAACGGCTTTGAACGCCTCCTGCTCCGCCGGCCACAGGGCAGGGGGTCCGGTTCTCTAACCTCAAACACCTGCTGGTTTGGGGCTCTCCTGGACCGGCGCTGGTCCTGTTCTGACCCGCCCGCCTGCCTGGCTGGGTTTTTGTTCCTGCAGCCCTCTGGCCCTGAGGTGACAAACTGGGGGTCGTGCCGTGTCGCTGCGCGTGTCCGAGATCTCGCGGACGCCGAGCGCGTCCTGTCCTGTCCTGTCCTGTCCGCTCTGGCCTGGCCCTCCCTCTCTCCGTGTGCCCGGTGTAGGGCCTGACGTCGACGCTCGCCCGGGCAGGTCTTTCTGGAGCGAGGTGCGTATGCTGCCCCAGCCGTGTTCCGGAGCTCCCGGTCTCTCCCTCCTCCGGATCCGCCCCGGCGGCTCTTCCCAGCGCCCGGTCGCTGCAGCAGCTCGGCGCTCCCAGCGTCTCGTTGGGGGGCGGAACCACGGCCTCCGGGCCATGACCTCGTCTTCCCCGGCCCGCCTCCGCATGTCTGCTTGGCCAACCTGTCAAGAGTGTTTCGGGGTGACCTCCAGGCCCAGGGACCCCAGTGATCTGAGGGTCTGGGGTGACTGGGAGACTGTCTGTCTCCGTGCCCTTGGGTCAAGCCAGTGCTGGGGTACCTGTGTGCGTCCTGGTTTGGGACGTCCCTGTTTGTTATGGGGTTCCCCAGATCCAGACTCAAAGGTCGTGGCTCAAACTGGTACCTAGGGTACTGGGCTACCTGTGTGTCGTCGTCGTCCCTCTTGGGTTTGGGGCTCCCTCAAGTCCAGACTTGGAGGTCGTGGGTCAAACCGTTACCCGGGGTGTTACTGTGTGTCCTGGTTTGGGACGTCCTTGTTGGTTTTGGGGCTCAGAGGTTCCTGGGGTGTTGCTAAGTGTGTGTCGTACCTGTTGGTTTTGGGGCTCAGAGGTTCCTGGGGTGTTGCTAAGTGTGTGTCGTCCCTGTTGGTTTTGGGGCTCAGAGGTTCCTGGGGTGTTGCTAACTGTATCGTCCCTGTCCCCCCCAGCCAGTCCGCGGAGCCCGAGGATGGAGCTGCGCGTGGGGAACAAGTACCGCCTGGGCCGCAAGATCGGCAGCGGCTCCTTCGGGGACAT